TTTTTGGGGGGGGGGGGCGTTCCTTTAAGAGCTTTCTATTTTGAACATCAATACCATACCTTAAGGTTTCCAATTAAATGGGCTGATAGGATGTTGATAATGTCTGCTATCTGGAATAAAAACTATTGATATTGTTAATGTGACAGATTATTATCTGCAGCAGACAGAATGGTATGGACAAATGTAAAGGGGGGGTAGTCCAATTCATTTCTCATTCATTAAAATTTCTAGGTCTCTACATAACAAAGACAACTTTTATGTTTTTTCTAATGTAAATCAGTTCACTGTGGTCTTATTAACCCAGTCTTCAGCCAAACGAAGTAAGGAAATCTGCAATAGTGAATACCTTTTGCCCCAATTGCTTAAGCTGAACAGAGTTCATGGGTCTGTTCTATTATACTCAGAAGGCTCTCTTTTTATTTTGGTCTCATCCTTGAGCTCAGGGCTCTTAACAGAAGGTTGCTACTACATAAGAGATTGAATGGCTCAGCAGAACTGAGCAAAACAGAGAAAGGCACCATACTGCCATTTCAAATCCAGATTTACAGCAAGCAAAGTTCATTCTGTTAGCCACCCATGTAGAATGCTTTAAAGGGTCTCAGTGGATAGTTGTCCACATTTAGATCTATCCACATTTATCCAATATAACCACATTTAGTACTGACACATTAGTGGTTTCAGCAGGCATGCCAGAGGTTGTTGTAAAAACACTTCATTCTCTTTGCCAAGGTGTCACAAATGCACCCTAAGGCTAGGATTATTTTGAGATTTACAATATGTTTAGAGACATCTGCCCCAAGGATGGTTAGAGTAACCTCGTGTTTGATCTACTTCAAAAGCTGCATTCATTTGTCATTCTTATCACCATAGTGATTCTGTTGTGTTACATGCAGACAGTATAATGTGACTAAAGTTTTGTGTTGCAGCTTAATCAAAAGTTACAGCTAGGCTTCTGCTTAAGGAGTTGTCTGTCAAAGGAACACAGGGAAGGTGACACTATTAAGGATCCCCTCTCACTGTTGGGACCTCGAGCTGCAACTCCCACCCCTTCCCCTCCACTTACTAGGTGGGTGCTGTATGTCTGCCCCTCACTCCCAAGCCACAGCCCCACAGCTGCCCCTCTCCTGATCCACAGTACCCTGCATCCTGCCAGGGTGTGGAAGGACCCACCCTCCACAGGCTCCACCCCCCCACACAAATACTGCCCCCCCCAACACACACTTCAGAAATAGCTGAATTTCATGATTTATATGCTAAATCTCTTAAGAGAGTTTGTCTTGTGACTTTTGACACAGTGGGGTTGGCAATACTGTATACGACTTGAACAGGAGTGAGGGAGGCTAGAGGGAAGAAAAAAAGAAAGAGTGAAAAGCAGAGAAAGATACTAATGCTATTGTTTAAAATACTTTACCTTATCATACTGGCACACCACAACATTTTCTGTATCAAATAGCTCTTGTCCTTCCTCATCACTCACATCATCTTCACTGTTAAGGGGCTCCTGAAAAAGCAATTTGCAAAGTTTAAGACTAGTTAATCCTCAGTCATTAAGTTTATAGCTATTACAGCCATCTTCATTACATGCACAAAACTACATTCCAGCTACATGCATGGGGACAGAACAAGAAACTGAGCTGCAAAGTTAGAGTCTCAAGAGTAGGCTTAGGTGTGCCTGTTGCAGGACTCCACTGTGCCCAAGTGCATCCTTTAGGGATTCCACTTATGCCTTTAGCCATCCCAAGCTGGAATTTCAGTTTTCCCCACTTCTGAACTAAAATATCTAGGCTGCAGCATCTTGTGAACCAGCCATTCTTATCCTGCAGTTGTCACTAAATTAAGGCACCTACAACTTTTTCTTTTTAGAAGCCTATGCCCAGTGATCAACATACAAGATAACCTTCTTGGCCAGGTACAGACATTACACTTTTACAAGTATAAGTGATCAGATGCAAGTTTGACACA